GCAGTGCTGTCATTCACAAAATAGACAAAATATTCCAGCTATGATAACATGCATGCTTTTCTCCAAGTCTCCTCGTACCACCTCAATCTGTTAATAAATCTTTGACCTTAACATGCATACTCCCTTTTGGTAAACTAATTCTCTATGAGGTCTTGCTCTTTCTTTTCAAAGTGTGGGACAGTGGGAAACACAAATTTCAAGTCTTAGAGCCTGTTTCTAAAGACAGGTACCATAAAATTCCATCTGCCAACAGCTTCTCATTTAAAATGACCCATTGTTATTTCTGCTGTGTCTAGTAATTGTTTTCTGGCTGATGGACAAACAACTTTATAGGTAAAAATATCTCTTCTGAGAAACAAAGAAGCCCGTCAGGTCCTGTACATTCCTCTTAAGGAAACATATTTGCCAAGATGACATCACTGTGAAAATAATTTTCACAGAGAATTGTATTGCTCATGGTGAATAAGAGCACATACTGAGGCCACACATTTTGTTTGCTTAGAGAAAAATTCCTCTGTGAAACTAAAGGTTGAAGAGTCCCAGCTCTCAAAATTATGCTCTCAAGGCAAATTCATTCAGAAGATTTTAATCTAAACTATATGAAGGACAAACACGTCCTTCATCAAGACTATTCATATGGCAGATCTTAGCACCAGTTAGGGTGGAGGGATTAGTTTCTTGAAGAGGAAAATACTTTTTTTCCCCATCACAAATTGTTTGTACAGACTTCTCAGAGGTTTAGAATATTACATCAGGGGAAAAAGCAACATGAATTACACATTTATCTGCTCAAAAACTCAGACTGATATAAAAAGAGGTACATATTTACAGATTATCAAGAAAGTTAATTGATCAGTACATGGGACAATTCATAAGGAAATGCTGCCTACTGATGTCTCTTGTACAGCATTGCACATAGCTCTTATCCTCAACCTGGATTGAGGAGGGCATTAACACAGCAGAATACACAGGCTTTTTATACCTCACCTTCTAGCCTCAATTCAGAGGCACAAAGATTTCAGTTCTCGAAGTGTACATTATCTACAAAAGATCCTATTTCTTATCATGGTCAAAGGAACACAGGCATTGAACAAAATCATACTTTACGAACTACCAAAAGACCATTCTCCCAGTAACAAAAATTACCAAAAAACCCACAGCTCTCTTCTTCATAGTCAGACTGTTGTGAGTTTAGCCAGGCAGACCTTTAAATATAAGGGGCAGTTTACAGACACTAGGAGACATACCTGGATCCAAAATCCTAATAGTATGCCATTTCATTGCTGTAGTTCTCATAGGAATAGAAGATTAAATATGCGTAATATTTTCTGGAAGCAAAGAGATTATTCTATTTTCAAATAGCGTATACTATAATTTGCTACTGGTATTTCACTTGGGGAAAATCTGCCACTTGCAGTTCACAGGAAAACAGACATAGCACAATGAAAGAAGAAAATATCATACTATAACACATCATCCTCATATTTGGAAGGAATCCAAATGGAAAAGTTTCAGATTGATAAAGCTGGCACAAGTTATATTAGGTGTCTCTGCCTCATCTACTGGATTCCTGGTCTCATGAAAACAAAACCTGGCTTGAACTACAGAGAATGAAACAAATAAATAAATTTCCTGAAATACTAAAAAAATCCAGTACTGGCTATGGAAGTATAAGAGGTGATAAACAGTATGAATCTGTGTCTGCATAAGCTTAACAACTGACCTTAAAAAAAAAAAGTATGATCAGACTTGTTTTTAAACATAATAGAGGCATAACAGAACTTCAACAGTATTGTTTGAAGTGCCATAGTAGCAGAATAGAATATTATGTCCTTAATATATTAAGGACACAGAACTGTTGGAACAAGTCCAGAGAAGGGCCACAAGGATGATCAGGGGGCTGGAGCTGAGAAAGTTGGGGTTGTTCAGCCTGGAGAAGAGAAGGCTGCATGGAGACCTCATAGCAGCCTTCCAGTATCTGAAGGGGGCCTATAGGGATGCTGGGGAGGGACTCTTCATTAGGGACTGTAGTGATAGGACAAGGGGTAATGGGTTAAATCTTAAACAGGGGAAGTTTAGATTGGATATAAGGAAGAAATTCTTTCCTGTTAGGGTGGTGAGGCACTAGAATGGGTTGCCCAGGGACGTTGTGAATGCTCCATCCCTGGCAGCGCTCAAGACCAGGTTGGACAAGGCCTTGGGTGACGTGGTTTATGGTGAGGTATCCCTGCCCATGGCAGGGGGGTTGGAACTTGATGATCTTAAGGTCCTTTCCAACCCTAACTATCCCATGATTCTATGAATATTATGGGGTCTGTGCTTCTTATTGCGATAGTTAAAACATTACCTGCATGTCTGTGCAAAGTGACACAGTGTATCATTTCAGTTCCAATACTCCTTCTAGAAAATTGGAAATTTACTTATGATTTCTAATAAAAGAACATTTTCCCCCTAATATAATGGAATGTTCTCTGTTTTGGATAAATGAAAATACATTCAGTTGGAAAATTCATTCTAATGTTTTCAAGCTAGTAGTTTGTTTTATTCTACAATGAATTTATTCATTGGACTGTTACTCTGGCTCCAGAACTGATTTCTATCCTGCTGAATTAAGGTCAAAATCAGTATTCCTACAGAGCAAGGGAAGATTACATCCTGCTGGAAAAAAATAAAGATGTACTGTTTGTTAGTTTTTTTTTTTTTAAGAAAAAAAGAAAAAAAGCAGCAATGGAAACACAATGCAATTCACAAGGTATATCAGTAATTCTGTGACTACATTAGCAAATAAATGTTAGTTTGCAAAACAGAAAAACACAAGTTAAAACTATGAAGATTTGACAGATGACGTTTTAGATTCTACACATTCCTTCCATGAACTACTTGAATAGCAGTTGTATGTTAACAGTTATCACACACACACACGCATGCACAACATATATGTTCAGCTCTGGTCATATGGGAAGGAACCTCCAAATAAGCATTATGAGTGTCTTAAAGGTTTTTTCTTCTTAAAAGACAGAGCCAATTCCATGTTTGCCTTAGTACTAATACTGTATATTTCCACATTGTATGTTGAATATAATAATAAATCTACTGTTAGAAGATAACATATATAAACTTCACAGACCTACAGTCTGTGCCAGGCTCTCCGACAAATTCATACTTAACATATTGCCTCCTTCCCCATAGGGTTCTATTTGCCAAAGCTGGCATTTTAAAAGTGAGAAAGGCAGATAAAAGGTATATGTCAATTTACACTAGCAGAACGGCAAATTTCAAAGGTCTGAACACTGTGCCACTCACCTCAGGGAAGTTTTGCTGCTAATCTCATAAAAAATAAGACTCTGCATGGCTGCTACCTGAATGACACCCTTCTGCCAATATACGGGGTCAGGTTTCACACTCACAGGCTGCAGAACTTGCCCATTGCTTAATGCTGTATTGTGGGTTTTTGTTGTTTTTTGGTTAGTTGGTTTGGGGTTTTTGGTGGTGGTTGTTTGGGTTTTTTACTTAAACATGTTAATGAAGTATGAAAGCTTATATTATTACTGTCAAAGCTCTGGGAAAAAAAAAATCCATTGTGAAAAACTGTCCTATATTTTACAAAGAAGCTATCAGAAAGTAACTAAGAGATCTTGGTGAGATAGATGCACCAATAACAGCCTTATGATGCTTCAGTCAAGGAAACCAGTTAAAGGTAATGCATATCAAAGGCGATATCTGCATCATGGTCTCCTGAAAATCAATAAAAAGTCTCTAACACAATACATTCAACCTGTAAGAGCCCAATGAATCATTGACTCACTTCTCATTGTAGCCCGTGTTCAAGAACATTCCACAGTTTTGGGGTTAATGGAAAGTTATTAACAAATCAAACGCTTTTACAGCTCCAACATAATTTGACACAACAGTTACGGATGCTATATTCTATGCCTCAGAGGCATGCAATTTTATACAAGATATATTCAACCAATATCAAAAACCAATAGAAATACTAGACATAGTTTCATAAATTGTAAGAGACTGAGATGTGACTTTAAAAGGGCATTTTCTTTAAACAAAACAATGGAAAACACATTCTAGCAAATAGCTGCTGCATTTACAATGTCTTAAAAAGTTATTTTTAAGTAGTGCTATAAAAACTGTTGTTACACAAGCAGCTGCTACACACAACTTGCAAGAAACGAGCACTTCTCAAAAGGAGCCTAGTAAGAGACATTGCTGTTTGAGCATCTCTGAAACCTCCTTTACTGCCGTCAGACTACTCAGAGGGGACAGGGTGCTGGTAAAGAGGTCTTGCAAAATGAGGTGCTCCCTCAAACCAGGAATCATCTGAATCGATCACTGGTTTGGACTCTGACTTGCATTTTGTGTAAGTCTACAGGTGCAGTTAACACCTTCCCAAGAGAACGCAGACAGCAAGGTAAAGAAAGAGTTCATAGAGTACCGTGAACTGCCATTTCTCATCTGACTTAAACTAGTGTCGGGTCCGAATGTTTTCCGGGGGCTATAAGCAGTGAAACCGAATGTATGCGCGTGACCGCATGGAAGCCCCGCGCCCGCCCGGCGCGCCGCACGAGCTTAAGAGGAAACGGGCAATACACGGCACTGTGGTCGTGGGTGAGGTCTTGTACAAGGACTGCTACACCAGCAAAGCGGTACAGAGACACGCTACTTTCCCTCAGAAGCGGCGAGTGCAGCCTCTGCACGCTGCCCGCCAACGTCTCCGAGCTGGTGACAGCCCGGGGCCGCCAGAACCGCGTCCTGCCTGCACCCCCCACGCCTCTGCAATCCACCCCCCACACCTCACCCCACCCCCACCCCCCCGGCCTGGGAACAGCGCAGGGGACATGGCTCTTCGAGGGGAGAGCAGATCCACCCCAAGCAGCGAGGGGACGGTCCGCTACCTTTTCAGCGGCACTGGCAGTGAAATGCGTCCAACACCCCGCTCCCCTCCCTTCGGCGCATCACAGCCAGGGAGGGGAATTGGGAGTACCTACCAGGGATGGCCAGGTTGGTGAGTGAAATGCGGTGGATGCTGCTGGGCAGAGCTGCCATCCAGTCGGAAAACCTCACATCGTACTTGCCTTGTGACGAAGCCATGCCACCTCCGTACCCCCACCTCTCTCCCGCTGTTGCTGTCTCCGCCGCCCGCTCCAAACCACCCGGACTCAGTCCCGGTCCCAGTATTAAATCCTGTTCAGCTCCGCCCCACCCAGCACCGCCCCACGCCCACTCTCCACGCCTCCCCGAGCCCTCCCGCTGTCCTCCGCCGCTCGCTTGCGGTGCCGGGTCCCTTGAGACCCCCTCAAAGCTGCCGGTGCCGCCTCGTTTCCCCTCAGCGGCGGGTGTCGGCGGAGCCGACGGCGCCCGTGCTCGGGAGGGTGAAGCCGCCTCAGATAACGCTCGGGTTGCGGGAGGGAACAGGGTCCGGCCCAGGCCCTCGGCGAGCTCCGCATGAGCACCGGCCCCGCGTACCCGCAGCATAGGCCTCTCTGAGTCTGCCCCACCGCCTAAATCCTGCTCCGGGGGTGGCTGCAGCTCCCGCCCGAGAGCTCTGCTGCGGCCACGGCGCTGTAGACGACCTCTCCTGGGTTCGCGTTGCGGGGCCCTGGCTGAGTTTTGCTCCCCCATAGCCCTGAGGCCCCGCAGTGCCCTTCCTGCCCTTGGCGGTTGACTGAATGTGGAATGCTTCTGTGCTGGGACGTGGGCACACTTTCGCAGCCGATGCCTCCGGCCCCCTCCGAGACAAACCTCTCCTTTTCCAGTGGTGTTACTCACATTGAAATAACACTCTTCCTTACTTGAACACTTCATGGACATCTGTAAATTTTGGGGTGATTATTTTTCATTGTCTCCTGAGGATAATCCAGGTAGTACTGTTGCAGTTTTCAAAGGGTGATGACTCCCTTTTCACAAGGAGTCATCTGGAAAACAAAATAGGGGCGATAGACACAAATTAATCCTGAGGACATTCCTGTTCCACACAAGGAAAATTTCTCACAATGAGAGCAATCAGCCATTGGAAAACTCTCCCCAGGGAAGTGGTTGACTTCCCAGCATTGGGTACTTCTAAGATTCAGCTGGACAGGGTGCTGGGACATCTAGTCTAGGCCAGGAAAAGTTGGACCAGATGATCCTTAAGACCCCTTCCAACCTGGGATTCTATGATTCTAGTATCTTTCATTCTCATATTCCACCTACTCGTCTTTGGGGAAGCATTTTAAATGTTGACATTAACAAAACATTTATGTTACCGCCTCCAGATCAATGAAGGAATGAACCTGATAAAGCCTTGTGAGCCATCTTGACTGCCTGTTTTTTTTTTTACTTCGGCATAACTGTTTGTTTTCTTGTCAGAGTTGCTCGCATATGCGCGAGTTCACTTGGTAGATCTGACAAAAAAAACAGCCTGGGGAGAGCCACACCTGAGCTGGGACCAGTTACCAGCTCATCTTGTATTTCCAGAAGGGTCAGCTATAGTCCTATAGCTTCTATTCTCACTCAACATCATCTTTAACACCTGGGTTTGGGAATAAAAACACAGGGAACAGCTAATAACAAGCCACTTTACTCTTTCTGTCCAAGTTTCCAGAGCAAGTACGAACAAAAGCTTTTCCTTCAGCCACAAAATAAAGGAACTTTTTTTTTTTTAAATGAATGAATGTTTCCAAGGTATTTGAATAAATGAAATTTTGCTGACTCCCTTTTTGCTATAGAAATAACTCTTAGGGTGGATTTTAAGTGGGGCAACATGAACAGATGGATGACCTCAGGGGGGTTACTGAATTGGAATCAAATAGTAAATTAAAAAGGAGGAGGATTAAGCTGACAGACACTGGAGAAGTTTAATTTTTGCAGTGCTACTTCTTGGCTATTAGGGTGCTCATCTGTCCATTTCCAAAATCACTACTACTAGTGAACATGGGAAGAAAAAAAAAAAGACTAGTCCATGCATTGTACGCAGAAACATAAAACGCACTAATAACCCAACGATGAAAGATGTTACTTTACATCACCTTCAAAGGACAGGTAGAAATTGCAGCAAAAAATGTCAACATTTTAAAGAGCACTCAAGTAAGGAGCAAATAATGTTTTTATCGACATGATTGCCAACATCTGAGTGGCAAAATAATTAATGGATTGCACTGGTTACCTGGAAAACTGCTGTTGAACTTTTACCTGCTCCACTATTTGCTCTATCTTTTCTGAGATAAAACTGAAGTATACAGCTTTTTGACAGATTAAACATGTTGTTAATACTGTTGTTGACCTCCTCCAGTCTCTAAAGCTTTGGGTGCAGCTCAGAGCAAAATATATAGCTGCAAAATCCTGTCATTTTAGAATGTATTATTATGTATAATAACGCCTGAACATTCTGGTCATTCTAGGTCTCTCAGTAATGTTTTCCACTTTACTGGACAACTCAAACGTCCTTTTCTGCACTGGCTAGAAACTCTGCTACCACAACTGATTATTTTGGCCTTTGCTTTGGTGTTTGCTTCCACAACTGAGTTTGTTTGGTTTTGGTTTTTTTTTTTTTCCTTAATGCCTAAAGTAAGATTCTTCATAGCCTGGATTTTCAAACCATGGCTACTCTGCTTTGAAAAAACCAGTCTCCCCTAACATGTCTCACACTAATTCTGTTTGAGCAGGTTTGCCTCTGTTTCTAATTCACTGTAATTGCTAAGATATCAGGCTTAAAAGCTGCCAGTGGGTCTCTGTGAACTTGGAATGTAGGCTTAAATAATTCGGAGGGAAGTGGGATAGGAGAGGAAGCTTTTATGGAACAGAAAATAGGAAGCATTTGTACAGCAACCTGAAGAAACATTGATGAGGAAGATTTGATGTAAAACAAAAAGGTAACTTCTTGGAGCTTTTCGGTGGTGTGAAGCTTCAGCATTTGTCTGTGTATCTGCTTGAGAAGAACTTAATAAAAAACTCTTCTTGTATCTGGATTGAAGAGCAGATTAATGTGGTTTAGTTTGAACCTGCCATTTTACTAACTTTAACTGATTTATAAGCAATGGAAGCTTATAAATCAAAATCTAGGTATCTGTACAACCTTTTGTTCCTGTTTAAAAATAGTAAAAAAAAATAACATTTTTGGCCAAATTACTGAAATCCCTACACGTAAGTCTGAGCTGTCAAAGAAAGTGAATTTCAGGAATCAAATACTTTAAAAGCTCAAGAGAGACCAGGTACGTCTAAAATGAAAGGCAGTGCCAAGATACTGAAAAGACCATCTTTGCTTTGATTCACAGCTATGCTCAACTCACTGAAGAAACCATGAAGAGAAGGAAAATTGAAATCGTACTATCTGTTCATCATATATTGTATTCTTTCCAGTCTGCAGGTATAACAGCATGGATGAATAGTGACATCTCTGCTTCTGTGGAACAGAAAAACAGACTAATTTTGCCAGTAGGATTGTCTCTTCAGCACTGAGAGTGAATTTCATCGTTAAAAAAAAGGCTTTCCATAGTTTTTATTCTCTTAAAAATTAACATTTTAATGATAAATATTCACTGTTACACTTTGTCATTTTAACAGACACTTTGCCTTTTCATATGTCCTTGGCATCTATTTTAATCATGTGAATAACAAAAGAGTAACAAGATCTTTTTTTCTAAATTACATAAAGTACATTTTCCTCTCTGGTGAAAGAAAAAATGGCTTAATAGGGTATTGTCTCTCTCTGTAATTTTTCTATTATATCTGATTTATTTAGAAGGTACTCTAAATCTGTTAATGAATTCAAAATAAGGCTTTGAACAGAAGAATTACTATTGTTTAAATATTTGAAGTTTTTCAGTGCATTCTGCTTCTGATATTTGGTCTCATCCTCTTTCTTACTGCCCACTTCTATTAATAGCATTTTTTTCAGAACAAATCCTGGGTCCTCTCCCATGTTCACAGCTCTCACAGCTTTAAATGACTCTATCAGTCACATCTGGCCGGCAAAGCCCTTCCAGTTGCTTTCAGCTGAGTTTCCAATTATCTTCTTGTTACTTTAGAATGCAGTGGATCCACAGTATTCTCAACTTCATTACTCCTCACTGCTAACAGGTGTAAAAAGTAATTTTTACCTGTAAGACAAGCACATTAATCCCTAGAGGGTCAAAGTAAGCAGATTGATGGAACAAAAAAAGATTTTTTTTTTTTAAATGATTGTATGGGTGAATGAAAGAGGTAACAAGTATATTTGTTGCCAGTTCATACTTCATCTTGCTACTTCGACAATCTCACCTTGCATTTATTAAGCAATCTCTATTGAGCAGTATTTTTCCTGTCAAAGCAACTTATAAAATTAGTAGACAGAAACAAAGCCATGTAGAAACAAATTAAATGTCTTTTCTTCATTTTATGGGAAAGAATATGTCTGTTTCTGCTTTTCAAGCAACAGAAAATGTTGTTTATTCTGCTCTCAGATTTGTTACTCTCTGCTAAGAAAATCTGAGCATCCTTTACTGGTGCTGATACTGAAATGGAGAAGGATCTGTATTTATTCTAGGCAGCTGAAAAATGTCAGGGTATTAATGTTATCACTACTCTTTGTTGTTGTGAACTAAAGAGACTGTGAACATGATGGGTAATTTTTTTTTTTTCTTGTATACTTTATAACCAAAGCAGAGACATTACAGTAATATACAGAGGACTCAAGGGAGCATATGTGTCTTAATGCAAATAAAAATCAAGTCCAAAATGTATACAGTACATCTACTAGAACAAAATAAAATTATTAAAGTGTATGGCAAGACATTTTTAGTTAACCAAATTCTGGAAACTTGAAATAAGAGGTTAAAAGGTGAATGATAATTTTTGTACCTAGTCCTTGAGAGGGAATCAATCTCACCTTCTCTCTGAAGAGTGTTTTTCAGGTTTCTATAAGAAGGTTAGTATTGTTTTGTTTATAGAAGAAGGTTTGGTTTGTTTTCTGATTTTTTAAGTTTGTCATGCAATGTTATGCTGTCTTACCTAAGATGATGGCTTAAAAACAAGTGGTTACCTTTTTACCTCATTAAAAATAGACAGGTTTGGTTATGTTGGCAAAGACTGAGGGCATTGCAGAGAACCGTGATGGCAGAACATGCAAACCCCTATATTCTAGGCGGTGCTATAAGATCACAGCAAAGTATACAACTTTGGTACAGGGGAGAATGAGAGATTGCTTTTTATTTCTAAACATACCTGACAATGTTTTAAAATTTTCTGTAGAAGCCATGAACATTTTGTCATGAACAAGCGTCTCTGTGGCTGGAAGGCCCCAAGTTTAGCTTGGAAAAGAACTTGTAGGGAAAGCTTGATTCAAGCATTAAAATTTCAGCACATTCTAAAGGCAGAAAAAAAAAGTTTTAACAAAAACAAGAGCTAAATGAGTTACTTTAGTGGTGAAATTACCGCAGGCAGTTCAAAAGCAAGCTCCAGTACTGATCATAATCCGTGTAGGCACCCAATGTACTGTTGATGTGGTCACAAAAGACTTTATCAATATCAGTATATCTACTTCAGTTAAAAAAAAAAAAACCAACAAACAAACAAAAAAAAAACAAAAAACCAACCCAGAGCTGAAAGCCCCAAACCAAGCTCTGTCCTTCTAATTTTTAAGTTTTCCAGGAACAGCAAAACAAGAATGACAAGTTTTAAAGGCAGTCAGATAGCCCCATGACTCAGATTTGTCATAAAACAGAGCCCTTTGAATAAACAGAAGATTCTGATCAATCAACAAAAAGTCCTCACTAAAAGTAATATAATAATATATAACACATTCCAAAAGAATTCAGATTATATAGTACTATAGAATCATAGAATAGTTAGGGTTGGAAAGGACCTTAAGATCATCTAATTCCAGCCCCCTGCCATGGGCAGGGACCCCTCACACTAAATCGCGTCACCCAAGGCTCTGACCAACATGGCCTTGAACACCGCCAGGGATGGAGCATTAACAACTTCCCTGGACAGCCCATTCCAGTGCCTCACCACCCTTACCGTAAACAGCTTCTTCCTTATACCCAATTTAAACTTCCCCTGTTTAAATTTGAACCCGTTACCCCTTGTCCTATCACTACAGTCCCTAATGAAGAGTCCATCCCCAGCATCCCTGTAGCCACCCTTCAGATACTGGAAGCACAGCCTTCTCTTCTCCAGGCTGAACAGCCCCAACTTTCTCAGCCCATCTTCATACAGGAGGTGCTCCAGTCCCCTGATCATCCTTGTAGCCCTCCTCTGGACTTGTTCCAACAGTTTCATGTAGCCCTCCTCTGGACTTGTTCCAACAGTTTCATGTCCTTTTTATGTTGAGGACACCAGAACTGCACACAATACTCCAAGTGAAGTCTCACAAGAGCAGAGTAGAGGAGCAGGATCACCTCCTTCAACCTGCTGGTCTCTTTCCTTTTGATGCAGCCCAGGCTACGGTTGGCTTTCTGGGCTGCGAACACACACTGCTGGCGCATGTTCATGGATGGATGTTCATATGGATGCTGAGATCTTACTTTCAGATTTGTAGCTAGCATAGACAAAATGTGAATGTTTGAGTCAGTGTGAAACCTGCAAAAAAATGCAAGACAGAACCAAGTAAAGAAAAAAAGCCTATTTTTATTGACTATTTATTATGCTACCACATAGCGGTAAGAAAAGAAGAACCCATATGCAGAAAAATCAATGAAGGTAGTAGAAATTAAATGGATGATCAGAAGTGAATATTGCTTACAGGATTTTACAGTGGACCACCAGAAACAGAAGATGAAATCAATTTGTATGTGTCAGAAATTTAGAATGTAGTTCAGACTTACTAGGCAGGTTATTTAGCAGCTGAAGGAGAAGAGGAAAATAGTATTTCTAAGTAGGTAGTAAAGTACTTCTAAATTTTTTAAAATATGGAAATTAAGTGCTATAAAAAGGGACTCAGGTTTTGCAACTGTTTCTTTACCATCAAGATATTAAGCATGACATCTTATGATTGATCTTGGCTATGACTGAGAGGCACAATTATGTAGTTTCCATATCTTTGCTTTATAAAAATAGTGAACATCGGTCCAACTGTTCATGTTCTGCAGTAATTGTTCTTTAAAAGAAGCTAAAAGAAATGACAACTGCATTGAACAGGAAAATAATGAAAGCAAATAAATGTATAATGTCTGCTAAGAAATGAAAATTAGTAATAATATGTAAATTATTTTTATTTCTGTGCTTGTTGGAGAATAGCCCAAAATCAGTGAAGATAATTAAAATACTCCACTGAATTCAGTGGGATTTGAACCCCCTGGATGGAAAACTAGTATCAGTTGGTTAATAGTTGATGCATCTACTGTGCTCATACCCTAAGTCACTGAAAATGAAAAGTCTTTTCTATTTCCAAATAGAAAGGGTGATGGATGACACAGACTTTCCAACAGGAGCTGCAGAATGTTTACAGTGGTCAGTTCCACTCTTGGTAACTGGAATCATGTTTCATGGAATTTGCATTTCTGACTCCTGGATGAGGTTTTCCGAACAGGCCCTTTTTTTTTTGCATGGTAACGAAGTACTCCCAAAAGGTGTTGAAAATGGTGATCAGGACTAATCAGATTTTAGCACACTGTTTGAATTGGTATGCTAGCCACAATTCACAGGTTGCAGTCAGTGCAGGCTGGAGGGATAAGAGGTAATGTTCCTTTTCAGTTATGCACAGCCTGTGAAAGGTGTGACCAGTGAAGTTGTTCCAGCTTGGCATTTGCAGGTCGGGTAGTACGTGATGCAGGGCAGTGTCTCAACCACAAAGAAAGGAATGGTACATCTGCATTCTCTAGAGAAAAAGGCAGGAGGAGGTCAGCATGGACGCTAGGCAAACAGAGATGACAACCAGCTGTGGGAAGTTGGTATTTCCATGGTGTTCCCCACTCCACCTTGTGATATGTATGCCTGCTATGTGGTCATTGCTCAAACGTAATATCCTATCCAACAACATAAAGCTCCTTACTTGAAACCAGGCATGTTTCTTCTTCCAAGCCAAGAAAATTATATATGAGAGAAAGAGGGATATAACAAGAGAATGGAAAACATGGGTGGTAACAAAGAGAAGGGGAAGAACACCCTGAGGGCATGGAGAAAGTGGATATCCAAAGGTGTGGTATCACCACGAGGTTAGAGACCAAATTCTGCTGCTTATCTGTACCCCTGGACCTCCATCATCTAGGGTAACACAGGGAAAAGAGCTGGTCTTGCTTTCCTTCAGAGAGCATCTGTCCCTCTCCCATCCAGATGCTCCCGATTCCTGTGGATTCGGCTCTGTTTCTCTCTGCTTTGAATTGCTGCCTCACTCTTGACATATATGCCAAGTTAAATTATGCACCTAACACCTTAATTGCCTGAGAGTGCTGTACCTAATGAACCATTTCAAAAGGCTGTAAATATTTCTAGCTAGAGCTTGGAAGTCAAGCATCAGTTTCCAAAAGAATTTTCTGCACACAGGATTGGGCTGTAATTGCTGTGCATCACGACTTGCTGCCAGAATGAAAAGTTGTTACAAACAGTGTTATTAAATGCTGTGCAGCTCTAGATTATAAAGATAATTAATTTTGAAAATGTAATGATCCATATGACACCATTCAAATGAATCATATGAGGAATTCCTAATAAAAATGAAATCCCTTTAGATAATTTTTTTTTTTTTTAATATAAAGTCACACATTTTAGTCCCTATGGCTTTAAAATGTTTGGTTAATTCTCTTGGGAAAGACCAGGGTTTAAAAGACCATCAGAGGCTCCTCCATATAACCCGCAAGCACCATAATCCAACACAAAGTTTCCGTCTTCCTCCAACCAGCCTCCTCTCACTGCTGTCTACCAGAAAGAATTGCAAACTTCACTGTGCTGTGAGCACTGCAGCACCTGCGGATTGCAGCTTTAATGCAGTGCTCATTACTGTAGGAGCCAGTATTTTAGTAGTGGTTTCCCATTTTACCCACTTTTAGCTATTTTTCATTGGAGGCAGTAGCTTGAAAATCAGAATAAGGCCATGATCCACTGAAGCACCTATATCTAATTGCAGTCTGGCAAAAAGGGTATCAGCACCTGCATTTTGGATTCAAGACCTTTAAGTGCGGTC